GTCCTATGGGGAGCGGCTGGAAGCCCATCATCTCTTTACCGACTCACACACTGCTAACTCGGAAATGCTTCGCCCAGCCTCGGAGGACACTACAGCTGCTGCCATTGGAAGCACCCTTCATAGGCATGAAAAAGTGGACAGGCCGATAGAAATAATCTGGACGTTTTGGGGGTGCTGACAACTCCTGTAAAGTTTGTGCCGTGTGGCGCACGTGTCTCGCGCAAAAGCGGTATTTCGGGGTCACAGCTATTAGGCGTTAAGTGGCATTCTGTTCGCGAGAGTTGACCACCACTGTCATCATCATCATGGTCAGGAAAACGTTAGCGCCGGTGGTGACCCCTGGCGGCAGGCATGCCTTGGTGGCGGGCGATAGAGTTTTGCGAGTCTCTCTTTTGGCGTGGGGCGGTTACACGGACGGTTGCCTCCAGCGGTGGGTCTGCCGTAACAGCACCGCGGGCCGTCTGCGGTGGCCCACGTGGTTAGTCAGGCGTTAGCGACACAGCTTTGTTTGTCATGTTGTGTTGTTTATTATTGTGTAGGATATCCTAGCGTGTTAATATTAGCGTGTGTGTGTGTGTGTGTGTGTGTGTGTGTATGTGTGTGTGTGTGTGTGTGTGTGTGTGTGTGTGTGTGTGTGTGTGTGTGTGTGTGTGTGTGTGTGTGTGTGTGTGTGTGTGTGTGTGTGTGTGTGTGTGTGTGTGTGTGTGTGTGTGTGTGTGTGTGTGTGTGTGTGTGTGTGTGTGTGTGTGTGTGGTGTGTGTGTGTGTGTGTGTGTGTGTGTGTGTGTAGGGGGGGGGGTGTAGGGGGGTGTAGGACCGTGTCTGCTGGGTCCGTTCACTCCAAGAGCCTGGGACACTCACCACCTGCAGACTCAGCACTGGCTACGTGGGGCTCTTGGAGCGTTGGACGGCAACTTTCGCGGTTCGGTGCAAGCTTTCGTTAAAACCTGTGTAGAGTAGGCCTTGAGGGACTTCTGTGCTAGCGTCGGTGGTGTGCTTTGTTGAGAGTGAGCAGGTCAGTTGTACATGTTGGAATTGTGGGCACGTTGAGTTTTTAGTTTTTTTCTGTTCGCAAGTGGTTTTTTGTTGTTGTTGGTTTTCAAGTACGTCGTGCAGTTGGGACTAGAGCCATGCGGTGTGAATCCTGGGGTGGGCAAACCTTAGAGCAAGTGAATTGTAGGCCGGGTTCGAAGCGTGTGAGTACGGAAGGCTCGTGGGTGGTCCAATTTTCTGCACATAGCTTCTATCTCTGTGGGGTCAGAGAGCCGGGCGTCGTTGCTGTCTGGTATTACGGCACGATGTCGGGGCATCGTTACACCGTCCAGGACGGTGGACGCCGATCGCTCGGTGAGCTGCTGTATGCGGCGAGTGATAGGGCCACCTTACAGAGTGGATGTCTCCTTGCGGCTGCCTCTTCTGCGCCAAGGTTGGGTGCAGGATGGGTGCTGGTTGTTTCCAAGCGACTACTTAGGCCTAAGGCTCTGCGAAGCCGCCTGTTGCACGTGGCACATCTAGGTGGATAGTGGCGTTGAGGTGTTTCACTCTGCTTTCCTCACTTTTTTTTATCTTGCGATGTACGAGTTAAGGAAAGTGACCTTTTTTATATTTTTTAGCTGGCGTCTCGGTTGCCATCGATGTACTAGCAAGCAGTACTGACCGTCGTACCACGTAAGCGAGGAACCCGAAGCTCCTTTCTTTTTGGCCTGCTGCAATGTTCTTTCGAGTACTTGGAATGTACGCAGCGGGGGTGATGTAATCCGCGGCTGGCTGTCTTCTGCACAACGTCAGCGCCGCTGGCCAGGAATGCGGGCGGCGCGAGTGATGGAAGACGTGTCAGCGCGAGTGACGATTCGTCGCGCCGACAGCAACGTTGCAGTTGCGGTACCCGTACTGGGGTGAAGTCATCGAGCCGGACAGTGCAGCAGTGTCGACCGGCGGTGGTGTCATGGTGCACGGTCAGTAAGTAGGGACATGTGTTGTCATGATTTGTTAGAGCTTGTGCAACGGATTTCTATTTTTTCGGAATATTGCTTGAATTGAGGTTGGGGGGATGTGGGGGTTCTGACACACGCTGTAAAGTTTGTGCTGCGTGGCGCACGTGTCTCGCGCAAAAGCCGTATCTCGGGCTCACACCTATTGGGCGGTAGGTGCCATTGTGTTCGCGAATGTTGACCACCACTGTCACCATCATCATGGTTAGGAAAACATTAGCGCCGGCGTTGACTCCTGGCGGCAGGCAGGCCTTGGTGGCGGCCGAGAGAGTTGAGCGAGTCTCTCTTTTGGCATGGGGCGGTTGCGCGGATGGTTGCCTCCAGGGGTAGGTCTGCCGTAGACGGCACCGCGGGCCGTCTACGGCAGAGCCACCCCTGTAGGCAACCGTCACACCACGGGCTTGTCTGCGGTGGGCCCACGTTGTGAGTCAGGCGTTAGCGACACCACCTTGTTTGTCATGTTGTTGTGTTGTTTACTATTGTGTAGGGATGTCCTAGCGTGTTGATCACGATTGATGGTATAATAATTGGGCTGCCAATATTGTCGAGTAGTTAAATAAATGTGTGTGTGTGGCTTGGTTTGTTCCGACCATGTCTACTGTATCCGTTCACTCCAAGAGCGTGGCATGGCGTTTCCTCGCCAATTTCAGGCCCCAAAATGTCGGGTCATACGGGTACGTGTTCCCGGGGGCAGCATACGCCACTGCTTCTTCTGCAGGTGGGTCGACCAATATTTTGCGGCCCCCACCCCTCATGGTAAACCCTTATGAACTCTGCAGTTAAATGGCTCCCTCGGTAGCCACAATACACTACGTGCGCACGTCCCTACGGCATGCAAGCGAAAACCACACGACTCTGATTACCTCACCAGTCCTCTTTTCTAGCAAGTGTCTGCTTTCACGCTCTCAAGTTCTAATTCATAACGTTTACGAAAATTCTGCGTACACACCGTTTTCTCTAGCTAAATGGTGACAACCCGAAATTCCGTCAGAGACGTGCAATCACGGCGGGCCGCGTTGCCGCGCAGACCTACACCACTTACTATGGCAGTGTGCCACAGTGGATTGAGGGGAATGACCATGCAAGTTTTGGGGCGCAGAAATCGTTGTGAAGTGCTGCTTACGGACCCGGACACGCAGTTATTGTTCACGCACTATGGACATCGGTCGGAGCGGCCTGATCAGAGTGGCTTGGGGGTTAGACAAACCACAGTACTGAATACACACCGCCTCAGTATCAGTGATGATAGTGAATAGAATAAGTGTAAAGCCTATGACTCTGTGAAATTTATCCCAGTTTGAAAATCCCGCTTAACCCTACAGAGTCAATGCGCCTCCCTATTGTTCAATAAAGGGCTCTCCATCCATTCATTCGAAAGCAAGCACGTGTTGGTGTCGTTTAATTTTGTTTTTTCACCGTATAAAAAGTCGCCCTGTTTCATTACAGTTATGGCAATCAAAAATTATAAACTTTGGCATATGTAGCGAATGAACTGAATTGCTTTAGCTAGGATCTACATTTCATCTGTCCCCGTCTACATTTCAACGCGTCCCTGGTTTATCTTTTCCTTCCTCCAGCCCATCATGCTGACGGCGCTTATGATGGCATTCTCGCAAATGTGCAACACCGACAGGAATTTCACATGTACTGGAAGATTATGACGCACGCTTTCTTTTTACTATATCACACAGACAGGAGACATAGTGAGAACCGGCATTTATTTCAGGTATAAAAGTGCAGTGTTGGTCATCATCCTAGACTGCACGAACACACGTGAACTGTTAATGATCCTACTTCTTTTATACATTTTTCCTATATGCGTACACTGTTCTGCTACGCCACTTTATCTTCCACCTTCATTTTTCTCTCCCCATACATGCGCCGAGACGTGCTTTCAGCTAAAGTTGCAGAAGTAGCGTGCTTTACTCTACCTGTCATCATCCTCTTCCTCAAGGTGTTCAGTGCATGGGTTACGTCCTCACTTAACCTTTCTGAGTTTCCCTCTTCTTCTCAGTCGCCTCTCTTTTTTGCATCACTACCGTCGAGTGTTCAGATTACGTACTGCAGCACTGTTCTGCAAACCACCCATCCCATTCCATGCGTACATGTTTTCCTAATCTCCTCTCCATGGTACTCACTTTGCATTCGCACCCGCTTATCTTTATTACACTTATGCCCTTTCGCAGCATGCCAAGGTATGAATTTGAGCTAGCTGGTACTCGATGATAACCTATTTCTTGTCAAAAGATTCTTCCCCAATAAGTAGGTTTTTACTGCAAACCTGGTCACGCATAATATCCCCGACTTCTCTATATGCGCATTCATTTTCTTTTTCCTCCACGAAATACAGTAGACTGAAGAGCCGCCCTCAGTGATCACAAAGAACTCACCTTCACTACCGCGAGCTCCACAAGGCTTCCGTTTCATCATGTAAGTACTACCACAAGAGATTGCTCAAACCAACAATACGTTTACTGGACTCAATAGTTGCTGAATAATTACGTAATAAATTGTTGGGTTCTGCGTCCCAACATTACCATGTATTAATATCACACGCTGTAGCGAAGGGTCAAGGAAATTTTGACACACTAGTGCTAATCTTTACCAAGCACCTGAATCTAAACACGAACCTCTGGCGTGATGCTACCAACAAAACGTGGCTGCGGCAGCCGATATTCTATTACGCAAACGTTGGTTCAAATTTATTCAGCTTATGTCGGCGCAAAGCCAAAAATTTTATTGAGGGAAAGCGTTTGTATGAACTTAACATACCCTATGACCACATAAGTTTTGTTTGCCATGCATTTTAATATACATACACAATCGACCTTCTATTTTTTGCCTTCCTACTTCGCATGAATGCACCATGGCCGGTAATTGAACCCATCACTTCGTGCTCAGCAGCAACAAGAATTATAGCTTTATGAACCTGTGCAGCAAAGGAGCTATAGTTAGTTTTAGCAGAACCAACAATACCGACGTGTCTTGTTTTGCAATTTTCGGCAACTCGGGCTAGAATGGTCGCAAAAAGTAAAGTGAAGACTTTTTACTCCCATCACTGTCTCGTCATTGATAAAATATATGTGTGTGTGATACTAGAACACGACACGCACTATTCATAAAGTATTCTGGCATATACGAAAACCGGCCGCACGAACAATGTGGATTAACAGAGAGATTCAGTACCGGGCCGCTAAGCGGCGTTCGGACGTAAGCCCTCGCGTTCCTTGGTATTCTCCTTGGGTGCGGCTGGGAGAGCAAAGGAACGCAAGAGCGTGCGTACGAGAGCAGCTTGGGCTCCCAGGAACTAAAACTGTCTATTTTATTTTGGCAGACCCAAGTCAAAACAAAGGTGCTGAATTCATCGTGGAATCAACGGCTGGGCTTCGCTGGGCCTCCCCTCGATTCCTTTGCGGCCGTCGAAAGAGGCCGTCAAGATGTTGAGCACCGTGACAGCGAAGACGGCTGCGGTGGCAATGTTGTTCAGTATCTCGGCCATCCGGTGGTTGTTGTCCTTGTTCAGGTTGATAAAACCCAACACAAGGAAGACCATGCCCACCAATATCTGCAAAGAACATGACCGAAGCAATCACAGGTACATTAGACAGGAAAGTGAGTCTGCTTAGTTGTATTATCAGCACGTTGAGCCTCCAGCATAATGCAAAAAAGCCGCTCTTGCACTGATAAACACTTAATTAAAAATACTACAATATTACGCACCAAAACGATGATATGTTCATGAGATACGCCTTATAGGTGGTATTCAGGGAGATTTCGACAACGTGAGGCTCCTTGGATAGGCTTCAGAGCGATTTAGACGAAGACCTATAGGAGACACACAGAACACAAACGAGTGCTGACAGAGTTTATTTCCACTTGAACAAGCCGTTTTATGCGCCAAAACCTTTAACGTGCATTCTTAGCGTTTTTCTGCAATCGCGCTCACACACTCTGGTAATAGTGCGACGTGATATCCGTTAAGTGATCGCGCTATGTTCCTTAGTAGTGTTCAAGTTCTTGAACCTGATCAAAATCACATCATACATTTCTGTGGCTTGGTTCTTCAAAGAGTTAGTTAACTCCCAGCTTTCGATAAAAATGATTGTGACGAACGACTGTGTTTTAAGGGAGCCAGAAACTGCACGATACAAAATTCCAGAGCTAATATTATGGCGATGTCGGTGGTAGTCACATAAAATCAAAAATGACCTTCGAGAGGCGACCTCATTACAACGCTATGTAACACGGGCGTCGATTCATTATTACGCCGCTTAGATGCAATAAAAGCCATTGGACCTGATGGACTGTCCCCAGTAGTTCTTAAAGAGTGTCATGACGTTATTGCTCCATATTTAAGTATCATCTATGAACTCTCCCTCGAAACTGGTCTTATTCCCCAAGATTGAAAGACAGCAAATGTTACACCCGTTTTCAAATCTGCAGAGATAGAAAACTCAGAGAAAATTACAGACCGATCTCATTAACATCGGTATGTTGCAAAATATTTGAACACATTTTACATACCAATATATTTAAATTCCTTGATTCCGACGCTTTCTTTACTCCCTCCCAGCACGGTTTTTGAAAAGGTTATTCCTGTAACACACAACTAATAGAATTTCAGCATTTCGTATCCAAAGCTATTGATAGAAATAGTCGTGTAGATGCGGTTTTTATAGATTTCCAAAAAGCATTTGACACTGTGTCCCATAAGCTCTTGGATGTAAGGCTCGCTGCATTGGGCATAAATAAAAAGGTTCAAAAGTGGATACATAATTATTTGAATGGTAGAACCCAGTCCGTTGTCTTAAATAATGTCCAATCTTCGTCCATAGCAGTAACTTCGGGCGTTCTCCAAGGGAGCGTTTTAGGACCCTTACTGTTCCTAATCTACATAAGCAACATAGTTGAAAACATTACATCACCCATAAAATTATTTGCTGACGACTGCGTCATATACAGAGAAATCACGACTGAATCTGATACTTGCGTTTTGCAAACCGACCTAGATCATATAGCGGACTGGTGTAAAGAATGGAAAATGAATTTAAACATTAAAAAGTATTACAGTGTAAGCTTTTCAAGGAAAATATCCAAATCATTTCATCAATATAACATCTATGGCGTACTTATTACCACACACTGCGATTATAAGTATCGCGGTGTTCATTTTACTGAATCATTTACATGGAGCAAACACATTGACACGGCCATAGCAAAAGCTAGTAGGATGTTATACTTTAATCGAAGGAATTTCAAACAGGCGACGCGCGAAATCAAGAAAACTTTATATTTTTTGCAGGTCAGGTCCATACTTGATTATGCATGCGTAGTATGGGACCCCCACCAAGACTATCTTATAAATAAAATAGAAAAACTTCAGAACCAATCGGCAAGGTTTGTTTTAAATAATTATAGCCCCTACGCCAGCGTTTCACAAATGAAGGCCACTTTGAGATGGGATCTGCTACGTGTACGTAGACAGAAACTACAGCTTAAACTATTGCACCAGATATATTACTCTAACACAGGAATCAATCACCATAGCTATTTTGTTCAACCCCCCTACACATCCACTCGCTGTGACAATAGCAAAAAGATATCTACCTTCAAATGCAGATCCAATACTTTTTTCCACTCATTCTTTCCAAAAACAATAAGAGAGTGGAACAGCTTAAGTGACGACTTGGTTAATATAACAAATAATGATTTTTTTTCTATGCTGCGAAATTCTTCTTGCATTATGTATGGTCTGTGTGTATGAAAATGTATTTTGTGATGCATTATTATGCTCTGATAAATGTGGTGGTGGTTCTTTTTTATTTTTATTTTTATGTATTTTGCTACGAACTTCTTTGTACTGACTGTTTTTTTTTGTCCTCCCCCCCCCCCTACGTAATGCCCATATGGCAATGTAGGTACTCCGTAAATAAATAAATAAATAAATACTCATTTAAAACGAAGGGCCTGGCTACAGGGTGTGCTGGTTATAGAGTGCTTGACATGGTTGCTATTGAAATTAAGGTACTGTTGAGTATCAGTTAGCTTTCTGTAAACTTTAGTGGCAAGCTGGCCGTCACACACTATCACTGTTATGTCAAGAAAGTTGATATCTTGTCCTGAGTAGGTATGAGAGAATGAAATGGGCGGATGAGCGTTGTTCACATCGTAAATTAACGATAAGAGATGTGGTTCACCGTGCTGCCAAATCATGAATATATCGTCAATGTACCTTTTGTAGTACAAAGGTTTAAGTGAACGGCTTGCCAGACATTCGTTTTCGAGTATGCCCATGAAAATATTGGCAAAATTAGGGCCTATGGGTGTGCCCATCGAGGTGCCATTAACTTGAAGGTAATGAGTGCCGTCAAATTCAAAGTTGTTAGATTCCAAGACGAATTTTAAAAGGGCCATTAAAGTCGAGCTGTCAATTATTTTGTCACAGACAGACTCGTATGAGTGAAGTACTGCTCGTATTCCATCTGCATGAGGAATGTTCGTATATAGAGATGCTACGTCGAGGGTAACCAGGAGTGAGTCAGGGGGGACAGAAAGGTCGACGATATCGGACAAGAAGTGGTTAGTATCTTTGATGTACGATGAAAAAGAAGATGAAATTCGGGTAATTACTGTATCTACAAATTGGGAGATCAGTTCCGTAACTGTACCAATGCCGGAAACGATGGGTCGACCAGGGTTTCCTTCCTTATGTATTTTTGGCAGGAGGTAAAAGCGACCCGCGACTGGACTTAGTGGAACGAGGGTATGCAGAGCCGAATTCGGAATTTTTTTGCTCTTCAACGAGGCTAGTTAGCGTGCGTATAAGGACAGATTTGAGCTGCTCAGTGGGGTCTTCGTCTAGCCGCCTGTCTTCATCTAGCCGTCTAGCCACCTTGGCTCCTACAAGACTACTGCTGTCATTCTTGGCTCGTTTATTTCCTCGACCATGGCTTCTACGAGCTGCCCCCCACACGCGCCTTGGCTGCAGATGGCTTACACCTCAGTTTCGAGGGAACGGCAATTCTAGCTAATCACCTGCGTCAACTTTTCGCGACGAGGTTCAGCGACTCTGCCTCGTCTTGGCGTACTTGAGCACCGACTACTTTCCGCGCTCCAGCTAAGGAAAACTCTGTGACAACAAATGAAGCCACTGCCGGTCACCTTTCTTCGTCACTTAACCTGACCAGCTGACCCCCATTGAACTCTCCTTCTGTAAACCGTCTATTGGATTCCGGGAGCCCTACCAGCTCTATTCAGGCAAACAAGTAGTCATCGAGCTTACCTACAACTAGTGGTCGCCCAACACGCGGTGTCTCCGCGCATGAGCTAACTAGTGAAGGCAGTAAGGATGAATCTGTACCCAGCGGATCAGTCCTTGAATCCTGTCGAACTAATTGCCTCTCGGAGAGCGGCTCGTCGGCTGGCCATCTACTGAGCATCCATCGTTTACCTTCACAGTCAACTACGAAGTCAACCTCGGACGATCAAGTTCAGCCGATTATAGTGTTGTCGAAATCACCCGTGACATGCAGCAATCACTCGCCTAGAGCATCGATCAACCAGCTACCCTCTAGCCAGCCCGACGACACGATTCCTGTGGTAGTACAGTCGACGACGGACAATTCCCTTCCGAACCCGCCATGTCTACAACAGCCGATGCCTACTACGTGCAAAACTCTCAGTGTTTCGACTTCTGGTGCCCCTACTGCTCAAGCCCCCACTACTTACTGCAAACTCATCGCACCGATGGTCATCTAAAAAGCAAGGCCTCGTGACTAGCAACTACACGTCCTGGTAAAAATTCTTCCGACTACACTGTATCTAGAATATCCTTGAAAATTCGCAAAGTGATAGAAAAGTGGATTCGGTGCGAATAGCATATGTCTACGTTAAAAACTTATTTAGAAGCTAGCATTCTACCTAGAGGCCTCCGCATTGTCATAAAATCCGCCACAGCTAGCATGTCTGGTTCTGAGTTTGTCGCGTGGAACGAGGTGCTCTCGAGAGCTTCTTTTGATTTGGTCCGTATTGCCATTCGCCATTACGAAACATCACTCAAAGTCATTCGTAACCAAGAAAGCCAATTACTTTCCTATCATAAACTCGCCATCTGTGAATGCGCGCTGCTGCCAGCATACCAGCAAAAAAAAATCACATGAAATATATGCAGGCAAAAGAAAGAAGCTTGTAAGGGACAAAGTTATTACGTCTCATACTCCCCCGATAATGCATACCACTGAAATTTCTTCGCAATCTGATAACTCCAGACCTCGAGGTGACCCCCTATCATCAAGTAACGTAGTCAACCTGTCTTCATATGAACTTTTTGTTGATGAAATTTCGCTATTGTCACGAGGACTCAATTTTTGCGCAGTGACAAAGGTTTTAGTGAATTCAAGCTGATGAAGTATTTCGACACTTTTGCCAGAAACTTAAGACTGAGAGAATACTTCCTTGACAAAAGCCCTGCTAATGCCCCTACCTCTATTTTGCCATCTTACAAACATTGGACCCCTCCTACCCAACGAGATAAGTGCCTAGACCTCTATCATAGCCTCCTCTATA